AAGGAAAATATCAACCTATCAATATATTCCATGTACACCAATTTTAAATATACCCCAAAATATTATTATATTAACAATGATATAACATAAACTATCATTTTGAGCTGTATGAAACTAGGAGATTATCAGTTGTAAAAAATGAAATTGAATGCATATAACCCGCCATTCTAGGCATCAGTGACTGGTATGGACCATTCTGAATTAGAAAATCATATAGGTATCTACGCTGGGAATGAACAATCACTAGAAACGCCACTGCATTCATCATCAGAAAGACCATTTCAAGAGCTATCTTGAAGTACAAAGTGGTCTGTGATAGAGTGATCTGTCCTCATTCAAGGAAATCCAATCAATACAAGTATAATTCAAATTTATGCACTCACCACTAACGTTAGTGATAAAGAGGTTGAAGAATTCTACCAATATCTCCAGTCTGAGATTGACCAAACATTCAATCAAGATGCACTGAAAAAGAGGTTGAAGAATTCTGCCAATATCTCCAGTCTGAGATTGACCAAACATTCAATCAAGATGCACTGAAAATTACTGGCAATTGGAATGCAAAAGTTGGAAACAAAGAAGAGAGAACGGCAGTTGGAAAATATGGTCTTGGTGATGGAAACGAAGCTGGAGAACCCATATTAGAATTTTGTAAGACCAAGGACTTCTTTATCACACATATCTTTTTCCAACAACAAAAATGGCAACTACACACAGATTTCTCCAAATGGAATACACAGAAATTAAATTGACTAATCTGTGGGATGAGACGTGTTATGCAGGTTTCTCTAGAGCAGCAGTTCTCACCTTATGGGTTGCGACCCCTTTGGGGGTCGAACAACCCTCTCACAGGGTCACCTGATTCATAACAGTAGCAAAATTACAGTTATGAAGTAGCAACGAAAATAATTTTATGGTTTGGGGGTCACCACAACATGAGAAACTGTATTAAAGGGTCATGGCACTAGGAAGGTTGAGAACCACTGCTCTAGAGAAACAAAACCAGGACACTTATGAATATATCTATATCTATATATGACGTGATAGGTTTGTACAGCACAAAGGAATACAACAGCTAATTAGTCCACACAGCAGTACAGAGGGTGCAATTCAACTCACTTTCGTGGAACAGTGAATATAATGGAAGTCCTTCACCTCATGAGGACAGCCAGGTCCAAGGGCAAGGAAGCAGACAGCTGAGTCTTCCCTCAAGCAATCCAAGCAGAGCCTGCTCACAGGCAGCAAAGACCAGAGCAGGTCGCCAACAGTGCACAGCTCAAGAGCTCAGTGAAGCAGGCCCGGATGGGATATGGAACTCAAGCAATGCAAACGACAGGATATGCCAGCCTCAAGCTCTAGCAATGTGCACACCAGCAGCGTGGCGAAGCAGGTCTGGAAGGGACCTCAAGCTCTAGCAACATGATCCACGGGTTGGCTTGTCCCCCAGGTAAGTGTAGCTTACAAATTGAAGCAGAGAATTAGCTAAAGCAGCCACAGGCTGGTCCAATCACCAGAGAGAAAGAGAGAGGGGTGGGCCTTGCTGAGACATTTATATCTTTGCCCTCCAATCAACCTGTGACCTGATTAATCCCACATGTTCCTATGGCCAGGTTAGCACAATAAACCTACCTATCACAGAGACAATGGAGATGCTCAAAATCAGAGCAAAAAGTAGGCCAAAGGCTGACTATCAAACAGATACACAAATGCTCGTTATCTAAGTTCAGGTTGAAGTTAAATAAAATTAAAATAAATCCATGAGAGCCAAAATAGGACCTTGAGTCCATCCCACCTGAATTTTGAGACCATCTCAAAACAGATTTGATGCATTTAACACTAATGACAGAAGAACTGATGAGCCATGGTTGGATATCGAGAACTTCATTCATGAAGAACACAAGAGACCATTAAGAAGACAGGAAAGAAAGAAAAGATCGAAGTGAATGTCAGAAGAGACTCTGAAACTTGCTCTTAATCATAAAGTAGCTAAAGCAAATGGGAGAAATGATGAAGTCAAAGAACCGAACAGAAAATTTCAAGAGGCGGCTCAAAAAGACAGAGTCAAACATGATGATGAAATGTGCACAGCACTACAAAGGGAAGATCACACCCAGCAAATCTGAAACGAAAATTCAAGGTTCAAGTTGCAATATTGAGCAATTCTATGGCCAAAATATTGAGTGATGCAGGAAGCACAAAAAGATGGAAAGAATATACAGGGAAACTGTACCAAAAAGAACTAGTTGACATTTAACCATTTGAAGAGGTAGCATATGATCAAGAACCAAAAGTACTGAAAGAAAAAGTCTATGATGTACTACAAAGCATTAGCCAAAATCAGGGCTGCAGGAATTGATGGAATACTGACTGAAATGTTGCAACAAGCTGATGAAGCACTGGAAACACTGTCTTTGACAGGAAATTTGGAAAATATTCATATTTGTATCCATTCTAAAGAACAGTGAACTAACAGAATGCTCAAATTATAAAACAATATCATTAATATCACATGCAAGTAAAAATTTGATGAAAATCATTGTACAATTGTTGCAGTAGTACCGACAGGGGGCTGCCAGAGCTTCAGGCTGGCTGAGAAGAGAACATGGAACAAGGGATGTCACTGCTGATGTCCCATGAACCTTGACTCAAAGCGGAGAATACCGGACAGATGTTTACTTGTGTTTTATTGACTGTGCTAAGGCCTTCATCACACTGTATCTACCATAACAAACTGTCGACAACCTCGACAAGAATGGGAATCGAAGAACACTACTTTGTGCTCATGCAGCACCTATACATGGATCAATAGGCCACTGTGTGAACAGAACAAGGCATGTATGCTGCATGTTTAAAATCAAGAAAAGTGTGCATCAGGGTTGTATCCTCTCACCTCACCATATTTATTCAACCTGTATGCTGAGAAAATCATCAGAGAAGCTGGATTGTGTGAGGGAGAATGTGGCAGTAGGCTTAGAGGAAGGTTTATTAACAACCTGCAATATGCAGATGACACAACCTTGCCTGCTGACTGTGAGAAGCACCTGCTGATAGAGATCAAGGATTGCAGCTGTCGGGATGGATTACAACTCAATGTAAAGAAAGCCCAGATCTTCACAATGGTGACCTGTAGGTAACACATGATAAATACAGAAGAGATTGAAGTTGTCAAGGTTATCTTTTTTGCATCCACAATCAATGGGTGTGGAAGCAATAGTCAAGAGATCAAATGGTGCATGGCATGGAGGAAATCTGCTGCACACGCCCTCTTTAAGTGTTGAAAAGCAAGGATGCTACTTTGAGGAATAAGGTGAGCCTGACCTAAGCCATGACATTTTCAATAGCCTCCTACGCATATGAAAGTGAGATGCTGACTAGGAAGAGGGCAGACTTTTCCTTACGCATGCCTTTGAAGTGGAGGGCTTGTGAAGACTATGGAAAAGACCGTGGACTGCCAGAAGGCCAGACAAATATGTTTTGGAAGAAATACAACCAGAATGCTCCTTAGCGGCAAGGGTGGCAAGACTGTCGCATGTCCTTTGGCCATGTGAGGAGACATCATTCCCTGGAGAAGGACCTCATGCTTGGTGGCATAGCAGAGCCGTGAAAAAGACAAAGACCTGAGTGGCTGCCGTCGATGGACTCACACATCAGAACAATTGTGAGGGTGGCACAGGAACAGGCTGTGTTTGGTTCCTTCGACATAAGGCCGCTATGAGTCGGAACCTACTGTACCGCACTTATGAACAGCAGCATCTATCTTGTGATCACTTCCGTGATGTGATATCAGGTAACAGAGTCACTTTTTATGATGTGATCCGATATAACGTAATCATCTCCAGGATGGGATTTGCTGTGAGCAGCCAATTCATTGACAGGTCGTTTCCTTGAGGGTCTGCCTTCCACGCAGTATCTACGGGTGGCCTGGTAAGGTTCTGGCATTTTTGGTTCACCCCGGAGCCGGTATCCACCTGAGCTCCATCTGCTATCCTCTACTTCTTCAGATTTGACCCAGCAGCCTGCCAACTGTAATGGGATTCCACTTGGCTTCTGCAGCCTGTGAGCTAGCAGCCTGCTGCCCTCCCTGCCAGTCTTTGGTTTGTTAGCCTCTGCAGCTGTGTTGAGGCAGAATAAGCCTCCAGCCCAGAGGATGGGAACCTTTTGAGAAGGAAGAGCCGATCTTGTCCCTCAAAACAATTCAAAAATTACTCGCAAGCCATAAATATATTTTCTTTTTTGTATAAATGTTTTCAGAGAAAAAAATCACCATTATCTGAAATAATATCCTTTAACATTGTTCAATTATACTTAAAGCCACATATACATAATGAAAGAGTCTAATATTCGGAGAGCTGCATTTTGCCAACTCCTGCTGTCCAGCCTAATGTCTGACACATGAACTTGGGAGCTACCAGTCTCTGCAACTGTGTAATCTCAAGAATCTCTCTCTCTCTCTTCACTGGGTTTGTTTCCCTCGAGAACCCAACCTAAGACAACAGGCATCCTAAAACAGTCAGAACATTGACTTTACCGAAATCAGTTATGATGGCACTGAATTGGTTCTCGCCGGTGGTAACCCTTATGCTTTTGTCAATTAACCAGACATGGTTCTGGAGTTGAGGTTCCCATATTTTGTGAAACAGCAAGATTTTCTATTCTGCACCCCACCCCTGATGCCCTCAGGTTTTCTCTATTGCTAGCTTATTTGGAAACAAAGACTCAACAGACTAATGAAAATCACATTAAAGGCAGCCACTGCGATTTCAAAGATTGCTCATAAATATTCTATAGTAAAGTAGGGAGGAGATAGAAGATTTTATATCTTGGAAATTATTCAAAACAGGGCATTCTAGTTCAATGTGGCACCTGCAAACAAAAAGGGTTTAAAAAAAAACCTCTTAGTATAACATGTCTTAAGAGTATAAAATTCTGTTAAGGTATTATTTTTTATTGGCATCACTGAACCAGAAATACTAATGCAAATTAAATAGTACAGTACTTACTCTTAAGAAAAAGGGGAATTTTTTGCCATAAAAGCCAACTCTGAAGAACTCTGGTTCAAGACGCTGCTGGTCCATGATTTTATCATACAAAGAGGCTTCCATCATCTACAAAGCACAGGAGAAATTCCAAACATTTTACGTCATCTTGAAGAACTACCATTTGGCAGTTGAGAACATTGCCTCTCTATAAATGAGAAGTATTTTTTAATCCAGTGTATACTGAATTCTTGTCAATGTTCAGGGAATTCCTTTTTTTTTTTTTTAACTTTAAGGATGGGATTAGCAAACTAGTTTGCTAAATGGTTCCACAAACTCATTATTGGTCAATTCTGACTCACAGCAACCTTACAGGATAGACTGAACTGCTCCATTAAGTTTCCGGGTCTGAGTATTTATGAAAGCAGATTTTAAACAGAATTCTTTCTTATGCGGATCAGACTGTCATTTTGAACCACGAATGTTTCAGTAACAATAGAGAGTTTAACCACGGTACCACTAGGGCACCTGGTAATGGACCAGAGAATAAATAGTTCAGCACAACTACTCAGTTCTGCAAGCGGCACACACTGGAGTTGGCTGTTCCAGAAAGAAATCTCGGGTGTCACAAATAGTGAAGCGAGTCATTTGCTAACTGAAAGACTGATGCTTTGAGTTCACCCAGACGCCTTGGAAGCAAAGTTGGCCTTGAAAGCCCCATGGAACATGCTCTGTTCTGACACACCTGGGGTGCTCTGAGATGGAACCGAACAACAACTGGATCGTCAGAGGCAATTACTGCAATGCAAATACCGTTTAACCACACATTTTCTTCATAATTAACCCAATAGTAAATGAGCATGAAGTTGCTTTGGGGGGCTTAGTTCAAGGCATTTAGAAGGTATAACCTTGCTCAGGTTGAGTGGGTATTAGCTGACATACCCCAGTGCTGTGTGTGTGTTCAAAGCTCTGAAGGCTATCTTTGACAAGCGACTTGGAGGCAGATAAAGCTATGGTTTCTCATTTATGGTGTTATCAAGCCCCAGGGTTTCCAGAGAAAGATTAAGATTGTACTTGAAGACCCTCTTCCTCTCCCTGGCCCTTGTGACAGCACCCGGAAGAGCAGTTGGCATGTAGTCTAATACTCTGGGTTTATAACAATTGTAGTGACTATGGCACCCAAGGGCCCTGTCGGGTAAACACTATAACCTCACTCTGTTACAGGGACCAGATGCCAAGAGAAGTACAGCAGTGTCTCTATGCAAACTCTAGTGCCTGCCCGAGGCAACAGGATGGACGGAAGTCAAAACAGGGTTTCTCTCTGGCTTTCATGTTGGGACAATATGGATGAGCTGCTGGCATGAAACTCTACCCTGAGGGCACAGAGCTCGCCCCGCCCGTCACAGGTCTTTAGAGGTGGAAGGGGCAGTGTGAACTGCTAAAGGGTTAGCTCATTAAAAGCCACCTCATCGTGTTTTAAACTATATAAAATCTGATGATCTTATTTTAGGAACTTCAAACAGCGGAAGTATTCATCAGAACCTCCGTAGTACAAAATAGCGCAAATGTTCCTGGCTGGAGGGCATGGGGATTTGGAGAGCAAGGGGGACCTGTTTCAAGTTGAGAGAGAAAAAAAAAGCGTATAACACATTTGGTCCAGGGACACAGGTATTGAACAACTTGGGCACCAAGAAATGGGTTTGGCTGTGGCAAATAAAACACGACTTCTGAAGCTAGAGAGAGTCCACGTCTATGGAATTTGGCTCTCCATTATTTAAAAATCAGTCTGCACAGCCATTCTGTTATTTTGTTTTGCAGGTTCTTAGGCTCTGAATGACACCCGGCCATGGAGGTATGGCTTCAAGCAGAAAGCTCTTCAGAAATGTGGAGCGTTTCCACACGAAGCTAAAGTCTTCAGTCTGAATTTGATTTTGTATTTCAGATGTGGTGTTTTGGAACTGACCAAGAGCTTATTTCTTGCACATTAATTAAAATCAATACACAGATCAATGTGCTGTTTCCTATCAATAGAGTATGCTCCAGAGGACGCAGGTTTAAAAAACAAACAAAAAGGTTTCTTCTAGACACATCCAAGATGATCACCAAGTTCCTATCGCAGAAGCCCACTGGGACCCTAAGCCAAAGAGGGATGCCCCAGCCCGAGGAGGATGCGCCCAGGTACGTTACCCGCATCTTGCTCAGGTTCCTGTAGTCATAATAGCTCTCGTACTGCTCTGCTATCTTCCGGCACAGGATGACGCCATTTTCCCAACACTGCGGAGGAAGGAACGGCAGAAACATCACAAGCTCCCAACAGTTCGCTTTCGCCCAGAGGCAGGACGCTATTGCTTTCGGATCAAATCTCACTCCTTACTTTTCACAACTTCAACAACATCTACCCCATTTTAAGCGCGGAAACCCCATGTGACACGGTGAAAGTCTTCAGAGGGTTAGAACGGATATCGACCAGGTATTACCAGGCAACAGGCACTCCCACGCAGAGGCAGTATCTTGGTTGTCATTTCAGGATCATCTCCAGGAGATAACTACAGGTCCACCATGGCCAAGTGAATGCATACAGAGAGGCCCTGGGGACTGAGGAGAGCTTTCCCGCCAACCTCGCTAGAGCCAGCACCCTGGCACTTGTACATTGTGACTGTGCAATCCAGCTGGTTACTGCCAACAAAAATACAAAGATACTTTGAGCTGGCACCGAGGCTGACAAACCTGCGCTGCTAAGGGCGAGGCAGTGCATCGTTTCCGTCTGGTCGGCCACACGCTCTCCATCATGACTACGGAATTCTACAGCCGTGGGGCGACCGCAGGCACAGACGTGAGTGAGAGGGAGCTGTGTTCCAATAGAACATTATCTACACACCCTCAAAGGTGAATTCATGTACTTTCCACATGTCACGAAATACTCTTCTTTGGGTTTTTTCCCAAGCTATTTTTAATATGTAAAAATGATTCTTAGCTGTAGGCTGTACGAAATTGATGACAAGTCAGCTTTGGCCCCTGGGCCTCAGTTTGCCAACCCCTTCTTCAGTAGGCTCTCCTGTGGGTGGGCCCGCATAGGCAGGCACAGGTTTAGTAATAGTTTAATCTACAGGTGGAATCTTTCGAGCAGAGAACAAAGGCACTTATTTTGCTATTAATATAATGATGTCAGCATTGTTAGATAAATAATAAAGGAGGATATGACAGAAGCAATTTTGTTGCATCAAAATTTCAAGTGTACCCAATTATGTTTTGTAAAAGGATGACACCCAGTGGTTGCACTTTAATTTTCTAGCTCACCTTGGCAAGATGGGAGAGAGATTTAAATCTAAGCCACGTATCCCCCAAGTATCCAAGTGCTCAAATCAACTAAACAGTTGTGGTCAGAGTCACGGACTCCTGCAGGCCCATGCAGAGGGAGCAAGGTGGAGGGAGGGAGAAGTACTGAATTGCTTTTATAGGTCCGTGAGATTTTTTTCCATTTCTAAGCATAGGATGGCAAGCTGCAAAATTCATTAAAGTTTTTTTAAACTTATTTTTTGTCTCGAAAAATGATTTTGCATTTTTTTTAAAAAAGGTGAAATGTGGCAGAATACAAGCTTATTTGGGGATGAGAGGGTGATGATGGGTTTCCAAAGGATAAAATACACCCTTATTGTCAAAATTTCTAGATCAGTGTTTCTCAAAGCGTCAGTCAAGGTTCATAAACACTGGCATCTCAATAAAATCACGTATTTCCCGGCCCTCTGCCAGACCTTAAGGGGTTATTAAGGCTAAAGGCAGAACCAGGGGTCTGCATGTTAACAAGCTCCTGGTGGTTCTAATGTCCTGTGAAATGTGAAGACCCTTGCTCCCGGAGGTGGGCCGCAGTGAGCTAGAAGCAGGAGACAGAGACCACAGATCGGTAAGCCACTTACTCTGCCTCTGTCAAAGTTCTGGATGACGGTGAGGTGCAGGTGCTCCTTGCGCTGCCATTCTGTTTGCATGGGGTAGGTCAGAAACTCCCTGAGGGGCCGATCAGACCACTCCAGCAATTCATCATACAACAGGAGGGTATATGCAGCCTCTGAAAGCCAAGTGGGAAGGCACGAGTTGAGACAAGATCCAAAACGACTCCTCCTCAAACGGGGTTGGTGTCAGGCAAATTGGAGAAAATACCATTATACATAGTTGCATTATACAGAAAGAAAATGTCTGAAATGTGTATACCAGCAGGTTAATGAAAGGTGACTCCCTGAATTATGTGATTATCAGATTTCTTTTTAAGATTTTAGCTTCTCTCTATTTTCTGCTTCTTTTCCCCCTACAAATGACTGAATGCTGCCAGATAATGGACATGCTTAAGGATATCTTGCAAGTGCTGGCTCACAGATGCAGGGCAGACATGCCTTTTTTTTTTGCTAGGTTGGTTCGTTGGTAAAACCCTTGGAGTAGTAGTATAGGTACTTTTAAAATAATATGCTTAGGAGATAAAAAAAACTAAGTTTTTCTGGATAATAGTAATAGAGGCTAACATTTTTTAAACTGGTGGGGGGTGGGGCAGAGGGAAGTGCAGGCAGAATTTGGGAAGGGCAAAGAAGTGAGAGAAGAGTTGAATACAGGCAAGAAAAATGAATAAAAAGCTTTGAGCAGTGGAGGAGGGATTGGAGAGGGCTGGATATATACATGTATTGGATGGGTGCGTGTGAGTGAGTGAGTGTGTGTGTGTGTGTGAGAGAGAGAGAGAGAGAAGAGGGGCGGGGTACAGAGTGGGAGGAAGAGAAAGAAATTTAGACTGAGTGACAGAGAGAATGAGGATGAACTGTTGTCAGCCATATGATATGAATCTCCCTTTTGGACTTGCAAAGCCTCAACAGAGACTACTTAAATGGACCCATGTTTGACTCGGTTGGATTTCTTGTGGAAATAAATAAAGGGGGGATTTTTTGTAAATAAAGCAGGAAATGGTGGCCTGTGACCTTAAGCATAGTAAACATATAGGCATTGTATTTAATGAAGCATTTGCCATTCTGTAGATTTCTTCTTTTCCTGAGTGATAAATATGCTCCATCAGATTGAGGATAAGAGCCAGAATTTATTGTAAGTACTGAAGAACTATGTTAACGTGTCCTGCAATACTGTAATAACCCATTCATTAAAATAGACAAATCTTCGTCTTGATC